TCCTTCCTGTTTTCTTGAATCTTTGCCCGTACCTATTAAGTCTCGTATCTCTTTGAATATTCTTTGTCAGCTGTCATTCTTTCATTGATCCACGTGTCTTGATGTGTCATCATATAATTAATTCCAAATGTTAACTTGATTTTTCCCAATACAACAATCAAATAAGGAAATAATAAAAAAGAAAAATTGAATTGAAATGTAGCTGAGTAAGAAAAATAAAGCAAAATAAATCAATGTATTCCAATAATAATCTGTGTCCCTTTACAAATATTATTTCTCTCCTTTTATAGCTATTTCTAAGTACTATGTTCCTTTCCTCTCATAATAGAGCCATAATGAGCAATTAATGGCATTAATGTAACGTTATAATTGGCAATCGTAACTGTTTCGTGAAGATTCTATAACGTTTTCCATCATTGATGCTCATTAATTACAGATAATACGTATCTGTACTTTTTGTTATCTAGGTTCATTCCTCCGATATATCTTCAAATTACCAAGAGATCTGAGTAACCGCTCCCTCTTGTTTTCTTGAATCTTCGCCTGTGTTTATTAAGGCTCGTGTCTTAGTGAATGCCCTTTGCTAGCTGACATTCTTTCATTGATCCATGTGTCTTGACATGTCAGCACATAATTAATTTTAAATGTTAACTTGATTTTTCCTAATACATCTCTTAATACATAAACAGAGTTTGAACTAAAGATATTGGGTTCGATCGAACTCGTACGTCGGCTTCTAGCTCCTCCCTGATGTACACGACACATCTTAATTAATAACCCTTCTCTCTATATATATATAGTTTTTGAGCCATGCTGAAATAATTCCACTTGTTAGTCACCGTTATTATGGCTTTTCCAATAGAATATACTCCTATAATTTCATCGCATTAAATACAAATCTATCTGAAATACCTGCCTGAGTTATTTTGCGGCCCTATTCCTGCAGGAGATGTTTTTTGTTCATGTTCTTTCATTCATTATCTTGATCATCCATACCCCNACACAAAAAACTCACCCACCCCTCACCCCAACATTATTTTATTTTTTAATTTTTTTCCCGAGTTTATATTTTTACTCTATGTGCAAATAACGTTTACATCCCGGTTAGTTGACCTATAGTAACATGTAATTCTGCATATTACGTCTGATATAATAACTTACAAAAAAGAGCAAAAACTCGTTATAAACGATTAAATTGTATTAATGATGCAAAAATACTCCACTCCATCATTATACGTAGGTTAACTTTTTTCCTCTTTTAGTTTATTGTCTCCTTCAAAAGGGGGAAATGTTTGTGGTCCTCCATTTATTGACACATTATAAAATAAAAGATAAAGAAAAGAAAAGCGCAAGAGCCTTTCAAAGCACCCAAAATTGTGAAAATTAAAGGCATGCCATAATTATTATTGCCATTAAGAACCATGAGTATATTTGCGATCTTCTTACTTGAGTTTGGTAGCATTTATTTGGTAATTATGAAATACAATAAAAGAAGTGATATTCTCATTTATGTATGTTACACAGTGGAAGGTCGTTTCTATTTAGTCACGTTGTAACTAGTTTTATCGAATGTCCCCAAAGGACAGTTATGTTGTAACTAGAGTACAAAAGAGATTTAAAGTCATACTAGCTTATTTGTTTCAGAATTTCCTCTTACCATCAATTTTCTTTTTATATAACTCAATCTCTTACCATCAATTGCTATGCAATAGATAACCAGGTCAAAAAAACTTGCTACCTGTCTCATATTCTTGTGTATTGTTTGTTGTCAATAATATTAAATGACAGTCATCTTATTTAATGAAGTTATTAAATTACTACTTTACTATCGAGCAATCTGTATGGGTCCAAATTTGACCGACCACGATGTACAACGAGTACGACAAACGACCGGGTAACTCCGAACCGGCGTCCCGAGGGAAACGACCTTAAGGCGAAAGAAGAAAATGTACGACCCTTGTAGAAGTGTAAATCCGTTAGGGGACATTAAGAATATTCCACCGAATATTCCTTGTATTTTATTTCTTACAATTTAGAAGGGTTTCTCTCTAGTATATAAGGGGGGAAAAGGACCTTGTACGGGGGAGAAAAATTCTGGGAAACTTATCAATCTTGAACAAAAAGAAACTTTGCAACTCTCTTCTATTTACTTGTTGTTATTCTAGAAATTATTATCTTCAGCTACAATTTACCCTTTCATCTTTGATTGATTTGTCTAAAAAGGTTTTAATATCTTTTGAGTCAAATAATTTGGCGCCGTCTGTGGGGATTTCTATAGTTGAAATCATAGTTCTCATCTAGATTCCCGAAAGTGATAATTACTTTTCTTCAAACTTCGTATAAACCAACAATGACGGGAAAGGAAGCGAGGCTAAAGGCGGTAGCAGATGTCTCGAATAATCTCCTGAACTCCCTCAACAAACCCGGCAGAGAAGACAATGAGAATGCAATACCAAGCGCTACACCGGAGGGAGAGATCTCACCTCTTCCACATGGGGATCTAACGATCTTACGCGAAAGGGGAACCTCAACATCCACGGTGGGGGAAGCCCCACCAGTAGTCAAAAGGCTACTAGAAGAATAGTTAACGAGTGCTTTGGGCGACATGCTCGAGAAACCCACTCAAGGAGACGTCGAAGACGTGCCACATACAGAAATCACAGCTGCCGCCGACGAGCCAACCGCTACATGAACAGGTAACACCCGCACTATTACTAATACAGGTGACGATGCACTCTTGGCCATCTTGAAAAAAATGGAAGAGATGAAAAATGAGAAAAAACAAACACTCCGCGACCAAAATAAGGGACATCGGGAGAGGGTTGACAAAATACCGGGCGCACTGAAGCTACTACCAAAACGCGATATGGGCCGATTCGTCGAACATCCATACAGCGAAGGGGCTTCTCCTCATCCCATTCCAAAGACCTTCAAGATGCCACCATACTTGAAAATATATGACGGGACCACGGACCCGGCGGATCACCTAATCCATTATGTTACTGCAGTAAAGGGCAATGATCTGTCAAAAGAACAGGTACTGTCTGTGCTGTTGAAAAAGTTCAGCAAAACTTTGACCGGGGGAGCATTTACATGGTACTCCCAGCTACGGGCGCGATCGATATCGAAGTTTGAAGAAATAGCGGATAATTTCGCCACCACTCATTCAATACGAAGAAGGCCGAGGCTAGGGTCAATGACATCTTCGCCGTCAGGCAAACGACGGGCGAGGGACTTCAGGATTTCCTGGCCCGATTCAACAGAGTAAGGATGAGTCTACCAAAGGTGTCAGAAGGGATGGCAGCATCAGCCTTTCAAAATGGGTTAAAAAGGAACGGATCAAAGGCGACCAAAAAACTACTCAGTAGACTCATGAAGTACCCCCTACCACATGGGAAGAAATCCACAATGCCTATTGCGCCGAGGTAAGGGCAGATGAGGATGACCTGAACGGGCCGCTTTAGCAATTAACATCAGTCCAGACCGAGACAAGGAGAGATCGACGTAACGATGGGCGAATAGATCAACTATCACGTTTCAATCGAGAAAGGCATCAGCCCTATATCCGCACATCCAACCCGCCCCCTCCGCGACACGCGGACGTCATGCCATGACACACGGCACCCTTCTGAAATGAAAGAGGTATGCCTCTACTGCTATCTTCTCATAATTTTTGTGTTTCCCCTTCAGAAATAGTATACGCACAGGAGAAACTGGGCACGAAGGTGCAGTGGTCGCAAAAAATAAAATCGGATCCAAGCACCAGGAGGTCGAACGTCCTCTATGAATTCCACCAAGAAAGAGGACACAAGACCGAAGATTGCATAGGTCTGCGGCAAGAAGTAGTTAGGATGTTGAACCAGGGGTACCTAAAAGAACTGCTAAGCGATAAAGGGAGGGTCAACTTCGCTCGATGGCGTGACCCATCTCAAGGACCTCCAAAGCCACCATCTCCAGCGCGTACCATACAAATGGTCATTGGCGCCGGCGATGATACGGTAATCAACCATGTGAAGTTTACCACCACGCACAAACTCAAGCGGACAGTCTTCCCACGAACGGTATAATGACCTCGAAGATAGTATCATCTTTGATAAGTCAGATACCGACAGTTTGTCTTTCCTTCACTATGATGCTTTGGTTATAACTTTACGCATCGCTGACATCGATGTAAAAAGAATCATGGTGGATGACGGAAGCGGCGCGTGTATTGTTCACCCGCAAGTTCTCATGCAAATGAGGCTCGAGGATAAAATAATACCACGTTGCATAACACTAACAGATTTTAATAATGCAGTAGAGCGGGCATCCGGAGAAATAGTGCTACCTGTTCTAGCAGGAGGGGTCACCCTGGAAACAGCATTCCATGTCATGAACAAGGAAACGACCTACAACACCATCATAGGGCGACCATGGATACACGCCATGCGAGCCGTCCCCTCAAACTTCTATCAAATGATCAAATTTCCCACCCCATGGGGGATATTCAGCATCCGAGGTGAGCCACGTACCGCCCAAGAATGCTACCGGATCACCCAATATTGCACACACACCAAGCAGATAAAAGGGGCAAGCGTAGAAGCATAGCAGTTAGCCATGTCGAGCACCAAACCCAACATGCAAGTAGAGGCCATAAAGATCATGACATTATAGAAGCTTGAAAAGCAACCGTAGAAGATCTTGACCTCGTCCAGTTAGATAACACCGACTGCACCAAAAAGTCTTATGTTGGACACAACCTCTCGAAGCCAGGTGAGTATCGTGAGTTTTTAGCTAACAACGCCGATTTGTTTGCTTTTTCCCACTCAGATATGCCAGGAATCCTAAGAAAGATCGCCACGCACAAGCTGAATGGCGACCCACTTTATCTTTTGGTACGACAAATGAGGAGGAAGTTCAATGTTGCAATCAATGAGGCAGTCAACGAGGAAGTCGATAAATTACTCGCCAAAGGTTCCATCAGAGAATCGAAATACCCCCAATGGGTCGCCAGTGTGGTCATGGTCAAAAAGAAGAACGGGAAGTGGCGAATATGTGTCGACTTCACCGATTTAAACAAAGCATGCCTGAACGATTCTTTCCCGTTACCCCACATCGACCAACTTATTGATGGAACAGCGGGACACGAACTGCTGAGTTTCTTGGATGCATACTCTGGTTATAACCAAATTCTAATGGCTGAAGAAGATCAAGAAAAGACCATTTTCATCACTCACCGAGATACATACTGCTATAAGGTGATGCCATTCGGGCTGAAGAATGCAGGGGCCACGTACCAAAGGTTAGTCACCAAAATATTCAAAGATCAACTTGATAAGACAATGGAGGTTTACATCGATAACATGCTAGTGAAGTCGGAAAAGAAAGAAGATCACATTGGTCATCTGAAGGAAGCCTTCAAAATATTAAGGCAGTACGGAATGAAATTGAATCCCGAAAAATGCGCCTTCGGCGTGACTTCTAGAAAGTTCCTCGGTTTCCTAGTGTCACAAAGGGGAATTGAAGTCAACCCGGACCAAATCAAGGCCATCGATGCAATACTGGAAATATTGACCAGCAAAAAGCTGGTGCAGAAATTGATAGGACGAATAGCCGCCCTATCAAGGCTTATTTCATGATCCTTGGATAGATGCCATAAATTCTTCAATGTACTAAGGAAAGATCACGGGCTGCAATGGAATGATGAATGTATCGACGCCCTGATAAAGCTAAAATCATATCTATCCTGGCCACCACTACTTGTCAAAGCAGACCCAGGTGAATGCCTACTTGTGTATCTAGCAGTTTTCGAAGTTACGGTTAGCGTGGTCTTGGTCCGTGAAAATAAAGGTATGCAATCTACGATTTACTATATCAGCAAAACTTTAATCGATACCGAGACGAGATACCCTCACCTTGAAAAACTAGCTCTGGCACTAGTCATAGCTTCAAGGAAGCTTAGACTGTACTTCCAATGTCACCCCATAAGAGTGGTGACAACCTTCCCTCTAAGGGGTATCCTACACAAACCCGAACTATCGGGTAGACTATCCAAGTGGGCAATAGAACTAAGCGAGCACGATATAACGTACCAACCGCGAACTGCCATCAAGTCGCAAGTGCTCGCAGACTTTGTCGCTGATTTCAGCACGGAAATATTGCCCGAAGTAGAACAATAAGCACTCCGCACTTCTACACATATCGACCTCTGGGTCCTCTACACCGATGGTGCCTCTAATGCCTCGGGATCGGGACTCGTCCTCGAGGTCCCTACATGCGAAGTAATTCGCCAGTCCATACAATGCCCCGAGATGAATAACAACGAGGCCGAGTATGAAGCTGTGATTGCAGGTTTGAAGTTAGCTCTCAAATATGGCGCTCGACGACTTATCCTCCATTGCGACTCTCAACTCGTGGTGAATCAGGTCACCAGGACTTTCCAAATCAAAGAGCAGAGGCTACAAAGATACCAGTCAGAAATCCACAAATTACTGCCAGAATTCAACGAATGCCTCCTCGACCAAATACCCAGGGCACAAAATATCGAAGCAGACGACCTCGCTAAACTAGCTGCGCCGCCAGGAATATCAATAAAGAAAACGTGGCCACCCTCCTTCATTCCGCAATAGACCACGTCGAGGTACATTCTATAAACTTAACTTGGAACTGGTGTAACCGCTTTGTAGCCTATTTTCAGGATGGAACGCTCCCGCAAGACAAAAAAGAAGCCAAAAAACTCTGGGTGCAGGCAGCCCCGTACAGCCTAATAAACGGTAACCTCTACAAAAGAACATTCGGCGACCCCCTAGCAATATGTCTTGAGCCACATCAAACAAGGCGAGTACTTGAATTAGTACACGAAGGGCACTACGACGCCCATACGGGCAACCACACCCTCGTCCGATGCCTCATTCGTGCCGGGTTCTACTGGCCCACCATGAAAAAAAAGCTGCCGATTATGTCAGGAGATGTGAACAATGTCAAAAGTATGGCCCTATGATACATCAAGCAGGGGAACTCCTTCATTCCGTCACTTCATTATGGTCATTCATAAAGTGGGGAATGGACATAGCCGGCCCCCTCCCAGCAGGACGAGGTAAGGTACGCTTCCTTTTGGTTTTAATTGACTACTTCTCTAAATGGGTGGAAGCAGGTGCATATACTCATATATGTGAGTAGGAGGTCATCGCCTTCATATGGAAAAATATTATATTCCATTTTGGCATCCCCAAAGAGATCAGCTACGACAACAGACCTCAGTTCGTCGGAAAAAGAACGACTGAGTTTTTCGAAAAGTGGCATATCAAACGAATCCACGCCATACCTCCCTGCCACCAAAGGCCAAACCAAATCCTCCAATAAATTAATATTGAACATATTGAAAAACAAGCTTGAGGAAGCTAAAGGGCTATGGCCTGAACTACTACCGGAAGTATTGTGGGCATACCGCACTATGCCAAAAACCAACATCGGAGAAACACCATACTCACTGATCTACGGGACCGACGCAGTTATACCCGTCGAGGTTGGGGACCCAGTTTGAGATACTCCTACGAGAGCAGAACAAGAAACGACGAAAGTAGGCTACAAGATCTGGATGAAGTTGAAGAACGAAGGGATATGGCCCACATAAAAAATGGTAGCCCTGAAGCAGCAAGTAGAAAGATACTCCAATAAAAGAGCCAATGTGCGACCACTCAAAGTTGGCAACTACGTCCTTAAAGCCAAAAAACAAGCGTCAAAAGAGCCTAATGATGGAAAATTGGGAACTAACTGGGACGGACCATACAAAATCATAGCAGTAGCAAACAAAGGAGCGTTCCAGCTAGAAACAATGGAGGGAAAACTACTCCAAAACAACTGGAACATTGCCCAACTCACGTATTTCCACTTCTAAAAGAAGGCGTCACCTAAGTCGTACTCTTTTCCCTCACTCGGGTTTTCTCCAAATCGGGTTTTCTCGAGGAGATTTTTAACGAGGCGGCAAGGGGGATGCCTTAAGGAGCGACATGCTGTTCATTACCTTGACCCGTCGATATGGCCACTGGATCGAAATAATGAAGGGACTACATATAGATAATCGAATCTCCATTGTGTGTACGGAATCGAATCTCCATTGTATGTACGGAATCAAATCTCCATTGTATTTACATAATCAAATCTCCATTGTCTGTATAGAACTAGAGCTCCACTAGTCGACATACGACGTCTTCTTATGGGAATATGATCAAATCAACAAAAGCATAAGTTCGACCTCGTTCGAACTACGACGGGATTCTACTTCGACGACAGTTCGAAGCAACATCCTAATGGCCAAGGCCATCGATGAAAGTATAAGTTCGACGGGATTCTACTTCGACGATAGTTCGAAGCAACATCCCAATGGCCAAGGACATCGATGAAAGTACAAGTCCGACCTCGTTCGAACTACGACGGGATTCTACTTCGACGATAGTTCGAAGCAACATCCCAATGGCCAAGGACATCGATGAAAGTACAAGTCCGACCTCGTTCGAACTACGACGAGATTCTACTTTAACGACAGTTCAAAGCAATATCCCAATGGCCAAGGCCATCGACAAAAGTACAAGTCCGACCTAGTTTGAACTACGCTCGACGACAGTTCGAAGCAATATCCCAATGGCCAAGGCCATCGACGAAAGTATAAGTTCGACCTCGTTCAAACTATGACGGGATTCTACTTCGACAATAGTTCGAAGCAACATCCCAATGGCCAAGGCTATCGATGAAAGTATAAGTTCGACCTTGTTTGACCTACGACGGGATTCTACTTTGACGACAGTTCGAAGTAACATCCCAATGGCCAAGGCTATAAATAAAGGAATAAGTTCGACCTCGTTCAAACTATGACGAGATTCTACTTCGACGACAGTTCGAAGCAAAATCCCAATGTCCAAGGCCATCGACGTAAGTATAAGTTCGACCTCGTTCGAACTACGACGGGATTCTACTTCGACAATAGTTCAAAGCAACATCCCAATGGCCAAGGCCACTGACAAAAGTATAAGTTTGACCTCGTTAGAACTACGATGGGATTCTACTTTGACGGTAGTTCGAAGAAACATCCCAATGGCCAAGGCCATCGACGAAAACGTATATTCTACCTCGTTCGAACTACGATGAGATTCCACTTCGACGACAGGTTGAAACAACATCCCAATAGCCAAGGGCGTCAACGATATCACGCGTGTGGTAAATGCAAGAAATAAATAAGCCGACAAAGTAAATATTACATTACAGCAAAATATCATTTACACTTGCCCCTACAAACGGGCCCAAGTAAGACCCGTGAAAAAATTCCTAAACAAAAGCAAATACAAACTAAGACTACACATTATCCCCAGCGGGGTAAGCATCTTCATACCACGAATTTGAAGCAAGGTGAGTCGCATCATCGGAGTTGATACCACCCCCGTCAGCTGTAAGGGGGTCGTACCCGCATGATTCACGAGCGGCATGAGCTTCAGCGTGCACAGCCTGAACCTCCACCTCAGTAGCCCTTCCCTCGGCGTGAAAAGCCTTATACACATCAATCCGAGCCTCCGCATGGACACATAACTGGTATAAACGACGGGGCACAACCAGATCGGCTGAGGCACGAGATGTAGAAGGCTGAGAACATCGACTCACATTCTCCGCCCTCAGCGAGGCCACTTGTCCGTTTAGTGCGGTCAACTCCGCCTCCAGCTCTTTGACACGCCCTTCGAGCCCTGCAACCCGACGACCAGAGGCTTCCTTCTGCCCAACCAACTCTGACCTGGAAATGCGGAGGGCATGTTCCAGAGATACCAATTCAGAGATAGTTGCCGCCAGCTTATCAGCGCTAACGTTCGGCTCGCCCTTAAGCCCCTCAATCTCCGCTTCCTTAGTACTCAACTCAGAAGTCAAGGCGGCCACCTTCGCCTGCAAGTCGGTATTCTAAGTCGTCACCCTCGTGCTCAACTCGAGCTCATCCTCTTTCGCCTTAAGGGAGGCCTCCAACTCATTGTTACGGGTGACAACCTTCACGAGCTCCTCGTTCATCTCCCTCAACTCCTCTATTTTGCGCTCCAACTAGTCCTCCCGCTGCTTGAGCCCCTCATGAAACACCTGAAACTTAGGGTTTTGACATTTATAAATGTCGGACATCACCCGATGCTTAGCACGATACTGTTGATACTTGGATGACATCTTCTCATAAAGGCCCGTCCTTTTTATCTCTCGATGCTCTCTCTCAATCTCCAAGACGAGGGTCTAATAAAAAGGGAAGGGCAGAAGTTAGAAACAAAATACAGAACGACGATTACCGCATCAATCCAACGGCAAAAAGAGAAGGAAAGGCACCTACTTGCAGGGCCAAACCAGTGACCTTCTGAGATAACTCCATGTCGCTCATCGACCCAAGCATCTCACTTTCAGGAGCGACACATAGAGGAGCTAGGGATGATGCCACCTGCTCGTTGTTCAGCAGCAAGTTGTAGTTCCCCGGAACAACCACATGACGGTCGGATCCGTCCATCCTAACCTCTACATGGGTACGGTGACCCACAAATTCATTAACATCCTTTGGGTCGATATCTGAAACCAAGCCGCCACCCTCCACATAATGCCCTCCAACGTTAGACGATGCACCACCCTC